ATATAGAAAACCGGAGGAGAGTTTCGTGGGATCAACAGAACTACGACATGTAAAGAAATCAAATTTGTTGTGGCATAGATGATCGACCTACATCTTGCCAGCTCATACGCGTGCAAAAAATGTGGACTGCAAGCATTGACTCTGCATAAAAACTTTGATAAGTTCAGGAAGAAATTTCAACGACCTTCGTGTAAGTCGTGGGCGATCTCAGTATTCAGGGACCCCTGACCTCTTTCACGATTGACCACGATAAAATGATAGACATCTCCACGACTATTTCATTTGCATATAAAAGTACCCAGATCTGGTAAGAAATCTTACCAGTGAATTGCAGCCCCAGACAGTTGGTTGTGCCGAATGGCACTCCATACTTCCTGTCCCAGCGATCACAATTTATTCACGCCTATTACGTTTATACACAATATTTATTAATAATAACAGATTAATATTACATTGTAGGTTCGACCAACTGTCAACAGTCTAGTGCGATATGAGATTTCAGTCTGGATATTATTAAAAGTTAATTACTGACCTGGTACGATATATAATGACAATAAATTTATGACTCAAAGTTTATTTTGAAAAATATAGTGCTGAGAATATTACATTGTACTACTGATTTTGAAAACCATCGGCAGCTGTAATTGCAAATGCATGCATCAACACTCTTAGATGGTATGGCTAATTACTAGTAGTATATATGTTTTGCAATGACAATTTCTGTTTCCTTTTCACATTTGGAATTGGTTGTTAATAGTGTTGGTTTGGATTGGGTACTCTTTACATCATTGGCTGTACCTACTCATCTGTGGTTTGTACTCAATACTAGCCTATGACGTCACTCGTATTAACCAGCTGTACAAACAAGTGATATGGGGCGATAACCTCATGGTTATTCGTCTTGATGTGAAAATATAGCAGACTGTGTATAGAAGGAGTCATAGAAATTTGAACAAGTAGTTTTGCTGACATTGCGTGAACTATTCTAACTCTTTGCCTTTGAGAGCTGAATATGTTTGATGTGTTGATTTTGTTTGCACTACTATCATATAATTAATCACTCTTAGCTTTGTTGTATTTTGACAATGTCAAACAAGTACTCTTCTGGGCATTCATTACAATTAAACCATACATTGGATTACCACTGTACGATAGTGAATATGTCAGCTAATAATTCATCAAACTCCTGAAAATCATCTTTTTTCAAGTATTATCAGTTAAACAATTGTCACTATTAAAGTATAATTCTGTTGCATAAAAATCCCTAACCTATACGTCATTCCTGCATTTGCAAAACCTTATGATGAATTCCTTTCAGTATTCAGCAACCTAATGTCTTTTTGCTCTGTAATTATACTGTCTTGGTTGTACAATCACATTTATCATGGTGATGAGTAGAACTGCATGAGGTAAATGTCTGAAAAATCTGGTGCAAGTACAAACCTGTTTTCATCATATAGGAGTCCTCTCTTGCTCAGGTTCAGTAATTAGTTAGTTTGAAGCAGTTCTAAAACAGGGACTTGTGGATTGACCTTTGTGTATGCATGTGTCCTGGGTCTATCACATTAAAACTTCACACTCACACATATATCTTAGGGTACATATGCATGCCCACTCTTTTCATGTTCTGATTCAAGATGGCTGAATGGCGGCCATTTTTATGGAGAAATTCATCAAAATTGAGCATTTCTGTCATTCCAGACCGTGATGCACGTCATTTTGTTTTTCAGATTCAGATTCAATATGGCTGACTAATATCCATTTTGTTTTAATGAATGGGGTTCCAGAGCTATATCTCTGACATTCCTTAATTGACTGGTCACGTTCAAACTTTATACCGGTACTTTCATTCAGTTACACATATGCACATTAATTTGTTTGACAATTTGATTCTAGATGGCCGGATGGTGGCCATTTAAATGTTGAAAATACATCAAAATCAAGCATTTCTGCCAATCCAGATCTGGGATCTTGTACATTTCCCATCTTGGTATATACATTGAACATATATATCAGAACCATAATCGTTTGTTTTTTTAGATCTTATTCAAAATGGACGAATGTAAATGCTGTTCTTAGAGCCATGTCTCATACACGTTGACTGATTGTAATCAAACTTTACAACTTTTACATTTGAAAGAATCATGTCCTGATTCAAAATGACTGTTTCAATTCAGTTTTATTCACTATTGAACCAACAGGGACTCGGTCATGTCATGATATGTTTTCTCTGTTTTTTACAGCATCCAATCTACTACTGCAAAGGATAATGGTTAGCAAAGGGATTCCTGATAACATGGTTTTTATCTCATTTGACTCGGAGACTAATCTTAGTAAAGCCAGCTATGTAAGTAGTTTTTGTTTTGCCGTGCTCTCCCTCCCTGCATCAATTCCAGAACTTCTAAGGATTCAAACCTCTAGAGAAATGTAATCAGTTTTTTTCTGAAGGTTAAGTTATGAACATTAAAAATCATGATGGAGGTGTGACTGACCTGATTTTCACCTGGTTGTTTTTTTATCCTTTATTAATTAAATCACTCAAATGTAGCAGGTATTACTTTAAGATTGTATACTGGTGACATCTGTTTTCTACAAAAAAGCCACATTATCTTTTGCACACTTAAGACATCATGCAACATTCAATTTTTGTGTAAATTTATTCAATGTTGTATTTTACTTGTATCAAAAGATGAGTATATATTCTGGCCATTTTCTAACTCAAAATGGCCACCACTTGCTATGGAGAAAGTAATTGTTTCTATGGAAACAAGGTTATCATTTATTTGATAGAACCAGTTTCAACTGTAAAATATCAAGAATGTTGATTTTTACTGTTTTGAAATCCAATAATGTAGGTGCCATCGTTGATTTCAGACAACAAAATGTTACAAGAATGTTGATTTTTACTGTTTTGAAATCCAATAATGTAGGTGTCATCGTTGATTTCAGACAACAAAATGTTACAAGAATGTTGATTTTTACTGTTTTGAAATCCAATAATGTAGGTGTCATCGTTGATTTCAGACAACAAAATGTTACAAGTATGTGATATTGTTGTCGTTAAAATTAAAAGAAATATAGTTTAACTCTTCTGATGAACTCTTTGTGCAAACACATCACGTTTATGACTCGTAAATAACCCTTTAAAGTCACTACTTTGTGAATTCCAACAACCACATGGCATTTTGTTGCTATGAACTGTGAGACATGATTGCATAGCTAGCCTTTCTCTTACTTCAAATACTTATCCATAAATAATATCTACTGCAGTGTTGACTTAATTTATCAACAAACAAAGTATCCATATCAATGTTTGTTTGTTTGTAAAATGCGTTTCTGAAATTAAATTAAACTGATTCCATGGACATTGTGTATGCACAATTACAATTTTTTTATAATTTTCAAAGCAGCCCAAAACTTCAAGAGTCATAGTGATACATGTCTTCATACAATATGGCATATCATTTGTGTGGTTTCTGTACTGTTTTTTTTTGTTTTGTTCTTGAATAAAACTATTAAATAGATATCCCATCTATCATGCAAATATTCTATAGAGATTATGGTAAGCTTTGTTATTAAAATATTATCAAATGTATGTGCTACGTACATAACTGCATATCCACAGTATGCTATGCCTGGTGATATTACTATCATATGCACTTTTTTTTTATGACCTGTACCCGTCTTTTTTTCACCAATAATGATTATGTTTCAGGCAAGTATATCTACTTAAAGTATTTAAGCTTTCATTTATTCATAATTTGGTTATAAATCACATGACAATTTATTATGTACAATTATGGGGTTATATTTTCATGGTTGCATGAAACCTCATTCTGTTGTGTACAGACTACCATGTGTATTTTGAGATAACTGGCCAAAAATTATTTGAAAATTGCTATTTTTACTTCAGTTCTGTTAAAGCAAAGTGTTTTTTTTATTTTTATTAATTTTTAAAAACCAATATTATGAAATAGTTCATTACAAATAGTACATCACTCTATATAGAGTTGTTTTCATTGATGTCACCAGCCAACTATTTGAGATAAAATAACACCAGGAACCAATGGTAAAAGCGCTTTTACAACTTACCAAATGGTCAGCATTCACTAATTAAAAATAGAACAATAATTATCATGAAAAATAGACTGGCGACTCTAAACTTTTTATGAGGTAAAAGCCTACTCATAAATGAAAATACTGAGAATTTATTTTGTAATAAAATGGACATTATAAGGATATTGACTTTAAAAAATGTGTTAGGTCTCCAGTCTATCTTTTGAGAAAAAAGTCGCTGTATTTTAAATTAGTGAATTGCAGTGTACATTGTGTCAGTATTAGAATATTTTACCATTATGCCATTTCTCAAATTGTAGGCTGTAGACATAAGGTGAATATATATATATATATATATATATATATATATATATATATATATACATACAGGGATACCTTTCTGAATCATTTCAAAAATCTGTGTTTTTGACTCCAGTGTGCGAAGCATACAATTGGGAGTCTTTGCAGTTAACGTAGTATGTGTATGTGTGTGTCGGTCCGTCTGTTCCACTGATATCTCAAGAACCATACATCGGTTTTTGATGAAACTTAGTGCATAGATGCTCTGGGCCAATGTGCAGATTTGATTAGGTTTTGGGTAAAAATCTGTGTATATTAATAACCTAATTTGCATAATAATTAGCTAATTTTTAGCTGTTCCATGACTGTTCCACTAATATCTAAACATTCACTCGTTGGTTTTTTTATGAAACTTGGTTCATAGGTGTGCCTATTAATTACCTAATTTGCATAATGATTAGTAATTTTTCAGCTTTTCCACTGATATCTCAAGTACTAATCATCACATTTCAATGAAACTTGGTACATAGCAATCTGATTAAAATCTGATGTAGTGTACAGGCTTTAATTATTTTGGCTATAAACTTAATTTTTTTTAATTCTGCCCTATGTAGGGCGG